TCTGAAAATAATAGGGCCTACAGTGGTATTATTGACGTCAAAGAAAAGTTTGTTTACCGCCATTAGTCACTGTTCTTCAAATGTCTTTTGCTTTGTTTTTCTATGCCACTTGCAACAATATATATTTGCAAAAATACCCGAATATCTCTTCGATATGATATTTAATACTATATTTTAATGTATGACACTCGTCGCTTTTCTTTCGCAAATACCTGTGTAATGATGAGAAGAAGAAAAAATTGCTGTTGTCTTAATATTTATATTTTCTAAAGATTAAGTAATAAATATATTTAGACAAATATTCTTATGCTCATCATGACAAACATGATTCACGTTTCAAGTGAAAATCAATCTTTTCTCGGTTTCAGCGAACAAAAAAATACAGTTATGTGCCAGAATGTGGATGCATGTGCATGACTTAGAACGTCAATGAGTATACACAAAAGATCTGCAGCCACACTGACAACTATCCACATCTCATATTTATACAACCGCGACAAATTGTTCAGGCATGATAGGACATCTCTGAGAAACAAGCATAATTTTGAGGAGAACTCTTCTAGGATCTCAATTATCATGGCTATACTGTATATTTCAATTCAAACGCAAGTTCATATAATCGAAATTTGCCAAGCTTTGTCTCTTCGACTCACGACCCACAGATCCGTCTACTTTTCATCGTGTGATTCTCACCACTCATCTCTTTCTTTTAATTCTGGCTATGTCCATGTGATTTTTGACATTGTACACTTCTCTCGACGTACAGACTATTAGTGAAATCATCCCATCACCGACATAGCTCGTTTTCGAATCACTGCAAAAACCGTACTCAGACACTCTACAGTCCATGTAATCATCAAACACATTTTAATTTTTTTTTCTAGAATGCGTTGCGACGCATTCATGTCATTTTATGCCTCTGATCACGTTTAATGATAAAAAGTAGCTACCTTTCTTCCAGTGAACGATATCTAATTGACGGGGTCGAAAATATGCATTTCACAGGATGCCCTTGTGAATACATCGAATTTGCCAAAATACGTTCGAGTGCATCGCTTTTTGAAATACAGTTGAATGTATAGTTATACAACTAGTTTAGTTAGTATAGATAAATACTTAAAAAAGGAAGTTGCATCTGTACGAAAAAGTGTTCATGATTTCAACGTGCTTTGCCTTCATTGGAATGTTATAATGATTGGAGGAAATACTGTGTGTGATGATATTAAGTTTAGAAGATAGTAGCTAAAAGTAAAATATTACTTTTTTAATTCATTTAGATAAACGCATGAACTTTCTATTAACTCAGTTGAACAAGAAGAAGAAACCGAAACATGCGTCTATGAATGATTCTTTATGATACGTGTGTCAAGAAGGATAATTTTGATAAATATCTCTTTAAGTTTTCAACCCATGATGATTATCTTGTTGTTGTGATTTCTTCGTGTAGCCGTTCAGAATTTCACAAACTGATTCATTTTTATAATAAGGATCTAAGTAGTAGATTCTATACGAAAAGCTATTAATTTTTATTGAAATTAGAATACCTCGGTGATCTCTTCTTTTTACTGCTCATGAATCCATACTTAGGCTCTTAACGCGTTTCTGAGCGTCTATAAGCATTGTAACTTGATACGTTTGAGCGCATTCAAAAAACTAAACATGTCAATACTTGTCCATGCTAAAAACAGATTAATAGGCGGTTTCCGGTTTTTCTATATTACGATACTGCTATGAGATAAATGCGTTTACTTTATTCTCAACAAATTTAAAAAATAACTGTCACTATCGGTCGAAATCGAACCGGATTCTAACATTCAGACTGGATCTCTATCATTAAAATTTAACCAAGTTGAGTTTGATTTAATAGATTTATTATATGAAATGAATAATCCTATCATAGTTGATTGTTATTCACACATATCTTATTGAAAATATAAAACTGTCGACAAAACTGTGTACAGGGATGTTCGGAGGGGGGTAACCCTCCTCCCCCAATTTTGAAAAGTTTTCGTTTTTCATCAACAAAGTTCCAGCGTTTTAGTCGGCTTTCTGCTTACTAATTCTCAAAAAAATCGTTCATTCATCCCCCGCCCCCCCGAATTTTGATAAAGTTTAGCGACAATTCTCTCATCGACCTCTTGAGTCGTCGACTCCTCTCAATCCTAGTGACCTCGGAACACCTCTGACTATATGTCTTGTTTTGCATTACTTCTAAAACGTTTCGAAATACGCACGGGATAGATTATAATCTTAACTATTTCGTTATAAACGTCATCAGCTCTTACCTACACAAACGAATAAATTATATGAATATATTACTTTTATTTTCAACTATTTCATTTTATCTGGATTTCATAAGCACCTCTTAAAATAGACGTGTTGGCTTATCTTTATTGTCATTTATAACAAAGAATGAATGAAAATAAAAGTTCTACTTTTATGTAATAAAGGTAAATACAATAAAAACTTTTAATATTTCAAAAATAAAGAAAGTAAAATAAAAAAGAGAGGTTTTTTCTAGTGAAAAACGAATACTTGTTTTTTTCTAGATACCTGAAAAAAATGTTCATACCATAAATACAAAAAAAGTACATAGACAAGATTATTTTTTTGATTTATCATTTATATTTTCCAAATCATTTTGCTTTTTATTTTATATCTTTGTGCCATAAATATAAATAATATATTTGTCTTGATTTTATGACGATAAATATCTTATGTATATTGATTTTGTCAAGTACAGATGAAATAAATCAACAATTCTATTCTCAAAATTGCAACATGTAATACTAGCCATCGATGCGATTAATGAACATAGAAAAAATTTCGAGCTGTATCTAGCTCATTGCTAGTTGTGTTCGGTTTGCAATCAACGTTTTTTTCTAGTAAAACTTCCACCAACTATCATGAAACGGGTGTTCCATGTTTTTCTAATGGATGATAAACGAAATAAGCATGTGGGCCAATCCCTAGTTGAATGCTTGGAAATCATGGAAGATGTTACTGTGCTGTTCAAGGCTCAAGTTGAACTATGGAAAGTTTGTGCACTTCATTCGATGCGAAGATGACCCGTAAACTTGAAACTACTACTTGGGTGGGAGTTGGATGAGGACGATTATTGATGTGAGAGAAAGGAATAATCACTCTCTCTTCCTTTCGTTAAATGATTGTTCTTTGCATCGCTACACTTCGTCATACACGAACTTGGTAAAAAAAGTGTTCCATCGTCTCAACAGATTCAACAAGTATATACTCGATGCTTTTGCCTCTATCTTCTACAATATCTTCCTGATCTTCTGTTCTACGTTGCTAATTAAAACCGAAAAATAATACATCGATGGGATCATGAAAAACAGCGATAAACAGTTGAAAACATCACTGGGACCAGACGAATGATGATATTGACAGTTAGAATCTCTGTTTTTCCGCTTAGAAACATCATTTTGATCCTGTTTCAATCTAATATGACCAAAAATCTTTAATAACAACTAGAAAATAAACAATCTCATCACTTTAGTTGTATGTACATCGTTTTTATTCTACCGTCATAACAGAGACATTATGCGGTTTCGACACATTTGGCCCAGTCACAGTAGAGCTTAAATAAATATGATGCACTCAACATGATATTCTTTTTGCCGAATTTTTTATTGCATCCTCATTGCTACGGACAGTGATTCAAAGCAATCTATGAAGTTTGTCAACGAATATCGTCTTTATGTTATTTCTTTTGAAGATAGAGATAGTTTGTCAAAAACATTAGATGCAATAGATCATCTATTGAGCCTATAATCTTTGTCAATGTCGACACATCATTGTTCTTTCACTGTTGACTCATGAGATTGTACAATTCTTCACAAAGGAAAATTTCATCGATGCTCGTCGAACTATTCGGTGAATCCTATTGTCTGTCGCCAAGTAATAACGAAAGTGACAAGTCGATGTCAATATATATTTATTCAATGTTTACTCGACGAAAATGTACTATAGGATCAAGGAAAAATTTGGTTGATTGTGTGCGTGCGTCATTTTTCATGCATTGCATCATGCCTTAAGGTCATTCGTAGATGATGACAAAACATAAGAAACCATGTATGATCATAAGATTAATATCGAGAAATAGAAATTTCAAAATAAGATGTCTACTGATCATTATACAATACCATGAGCAATATATATGACTAATGGAGCGATCAGACTAGAATAGATTTGAAACGTTTATATCAAATATCATTCACCGCGAACCTAATTTATTGTCGATTTGTCTTTTTTCTGAATTGTCGTTGTTGAACTATTTCATTTATTTTCATTCTGCAAACACAATCATATCGATCTCATTGACGATCACCATAGCACCGTTGATAACTATCAAGAATCATTATAAACTGAGTATATTACGGGTAGAATCATCCACACGAAGACTAATGTAAATAGTTGTCCATCACTTACAACAGAACTAAGTAGAAAACAGTCTCTGATTGAGATCATAACGTTTCATGTCATCTAGCAAAATGTTTCACATGAAAATGAAAGGATGATATGATGTCATCAACAATGAATTACTATTTTATATTCTTTTCGTCGAATGCGTGTGAAATTCATCTATTTATCCCTATAGTACAAAAGTTACCGGAAACATTAATGCAAAATATTTTGACGGAAAACCGATTATGATCGTACGATAGTTTTGATAAAAAATCCAATTTCAATCTCATCAGTTTTTGTCAAGAATTGTTTGGGGGGGGGGGGGGAATACCATAGGTCTAGAACTGTTTCTACTATCTATTTTGATAGTCGTCGCCAAGTCTCTCGTATATCTCGATAGATGAGTATGCCTTTTAGACGATCATGTTGGTGACACTTCTATTTGAATGTTTTTTTAATATAACACCAGAGTGAATGATTTGTTTAAAGAAGTTGCATGCCCAGTCAAAGTTCATTTTGTCCTACTATTGAATCAGGAAAAACATTTCCCATATCCTCGATAAGTTTTAGCCATTTCAACAATGTGTCCATCGGCTACTATGAAAAAAAAACATGAATCGTTCAGCCAACTCGCCAGCCTTGGCATGTCGAAAATAAACCGTTCGATTTTGTTCGAAGATCTTCAACGTTTCATCTCTTCGAGTCGGATCAATTCTTAATGGTGTTTGTACTTCACCTGGCCCTTCACTATCATTCAATGTCAAACCCAAAGGAAAGACCGGTAATGGCACTTTATCCCATCCTGGTCGACCGGATGCAACATATCCACCACCAGCACATGTTACCCATTTTCCTTCATCAGATACGCGCACGACAGGCAGAGCAAAGTAACAGGATGGCACAAATGTCGAACCAAATTGATTGAGCATTGCTTGATTTTGCTGATAATGGTCAAATAGATGAGGTTGAAAAAATCCAGAACCGACAGTGATTTCCGTCAAAACCGAGCTTTCCTCCAAAGCCGCCATCAGACTGCCGGTTCCACCTCCATTCAATATGGTCAAGCCATATTTGGAACAGAGTTGGCTCATCTCTCGTCTAAGTTGTTGAATGTGAGATATCGAAATACGTTTGACGTAACGAATCAATGGATTCAACCAGAAATTATTAGGGTTTGTATCACCTATGCCAGCAATATGACTTTCATAGACCATGAAACCTTCTAAGCGGAGAAATGGTAATCGCTGAATGAATTCGATCATTTCAATGAGTTGAGCAATGGTTCGTATTGGACTCCGACGTGCACCTATATGAACGCGTCCACCTAAGGCTCGGAACGAGGCATCGAATTCTAAGATAATCGGAAATGGTCGACTGATTCCCTCCATGAAACGATTCAATTCCTTTATCGATGTTGGATGATCGACCACAATGCTCACTGTTTTCTTCTGACGATCGTGTAAATCTTTCAGAATTGCATAATCTGATAGCTGCTGTGAAGGATAGGCAATTAAGAAATCATCGAAGCCTAAGCTTGATAAAAATTGAGCTTCTTCCACAGCGAAACACATCAGCCCTTTAAATGGCAGACCAGATGATAGAATACGTTGCAATAAGAAAGGAACACGCAGTGATTTTGAGGCAATACGTATCGTTGTTCCTGTATGCGAAGACATTTGATGACGAAGAAGAGCCACGTTTCTATCAAAGGCTTTCAAATCCACCAACACAGCCGGTAAATGATGAGATTCTTGGGCATTACTCTTTGATAGGAGCAATCGGTTAAATTGTTCGAAAAGTGTTGGATCAATAGTCGATGAAGTTGAATGTGAACGAGAAAAGGCCCATTTCAATGACATGCAAGTTGCAAACAAACTGATTGCCACAAAAAAAAACATAATGAGTATATAGAAAAATTCAAGGATACTCAAGAGGCAGAGTCGAAAGCTGTTCGTGTCAGTTGTTAAATGACAAGCCACTTCAAAAAAAAACAATGTCTTCTTATCAATTTAAGATAAAGGACGCTACAGCTCGTGATACCATATGTTGGTTGAATATCAACAGTGGCAAGGTATCGAGTTTGCACGAAATACCAGTGTGACACAAAATGCCCATAGCAACAGGCTTATACAGTTTGCTTTCTCCACAACACAAGAAGGTGATACTATTATGCCGTATATATCATGAATATTATCTTAACTATTTGCTGCGAATAAAATATTTTAACTCCTATTAGGAGAAAGCAATGTTTCAATAATGTAAACATATAAAAGCTAAACTTTTTTGCATTATTTCAACATATTCTTCTGAACGAAATTCCAAGCCGTCTTCTTCTTTTGTTCTTCGTTGCTAATTAAATAAAACGATAACTATACAGAGTGTTAAGTCGTTCCATTAATTGGAGATATATGTGCAGTTTAGAGTGTAGATCCATGATATCGACGTGTTTTTTCTTTTCAACCACTGTTCATGCCCATAAGTACATCCACATCTGCACATGAGCACAACCCGTGTCATTGTCGAATAGAATAAGCTAACAATATCGATATCGTGTGTATCGAAAGAAGAGACCTTCTCTGTCGAACTTTCATATTACAAATCAAAATCCAATTTGAAATAATTGCATCATATTGTTTTCCCAATGTTGGCAAGATATAATCAGATTAATCATTTGATGACTAATTGTCTTTGAGCATGTATGTACAGGCATAAGTATACTCTTTCTAATGATAAAAATTACAGCTCTTTATTCTTATATCATCAGAATTCCTTGAAAAAGTATTCAAGTGTTACCTGTTTTTAAATGAATAATGCTTGTCATCGAGAGTCGACCTCCAAGTTTGGCACTCACAAATTTCTACCATACAATGATGGATCTCGATTCATGATGAATGTATTGTTGATCGTCAAGAAAAGGTAGTTAGTGGTTTTTAACTTTAATTCTGTTCAATCTAGATATCTTTCATCTTACATTTGCGCACTTAATTTCCTTGACAGCTTTTACTAGACCGTCAGCAACTTTTAATGTATAATTATTCTCCTTGTAGGCTAGGGTGTGGGCATGTGAATTTGGGCGGCGGTCTGAGCATACTGACCTCACTCACAAGCCGTATCCACACCTTATATTCAAGACGTTGATACTTTTGATGATTACTAACTTCCGTGGACATCAGCGCGAACTGATGGGACATCTGACCGAGAACCTTCTCTTTATCCAGAATTTTATCCATCCACTAAAATAGATATAATTATTGCTTTATTATTGAGTGTTCACATTTTAACTTACATAGGTCGCCACGATGACATCCTGATTTACCGCGACAAACAAATAATGATCGAAGTGAGTCAACGGATTATTATGATCCAATACCAAATTTCGATCGCGATAAAGAACTCCAGTTTAAACATCTCATCTATCATTCGAATTACAGCACCGCGGCCATCTTGACGAAGCAATAAGTTATAAGTGTTACTAAATAAATCCATCCTAGTGTGAGTAAATAATGAACTTATTTTCAATTAGCTGTAAATCATGTACATTAATGGTCAGATTTTTTCAAGATGCTTATTTCGAATGATGATGAGAATATTCAGATGATCGTATCATCATATGACTAGTTCTTTAGTAAGGTGAAGAGAGACTTATTACAGTTGAAGGTATGTTTCTTCAATTAAGAGAGTATCCTGGTCCATATCGACACTTGCATCCTCATGCAAATCCTAATAGGCTTATATCGCTTATACATCTCTGTACTCTTATTTTCATGTTTCTGCGAAAGACTCTCTCAGCATTATATTGTGATCATTTATTAAGAAGAATGAGAGAGAATGACATAGATACTACAAATTTAGCTGGTCGCAATCATTTAGGCAAAATTTTTCACTATATTCATCATGAATGTTTCATTTACAAGTAAAACCTTCATAGCCATTATTCACAATCTCCTGGCATCTTTCTCGATAGCGATTGAAGCCGCCAATGTATGGCATCCAAACTCTAGGTTTGCCTTCGATGTTCGCACCAACATACCATGAGTTTGCCANACTGCACACTGCAATATATACATATGCTCATCAGCTTTCTTGTTTCCTCCTGAAACAGATTAAACTATAATATGATACCCTATTATCAAAAATATGAACTTCTAAACATGTTGATACAAATTTTTTAACTGTTGTAATATTCCATTTTTAATTTTCAATTTCATTCCCATGTAAGCGCTTCCGAGCGTAGCAATAAAGAGCAATTTTCAAAAAAAAACTTCCTTGTTGCATCTTTATCAAATGTTTGATGTGATATAGGACTTCTTTTTTACTAAAATTGCTAATTTTTGCGACGTCGTTTCATTTATTTACTTCTGATGCATATTCTTTTCCAGCAGCGTTCACAGTGTAGATTTCTTCATCATAATTTTTGTGGAACTCACATATATTTTCGAAGAAACTAGTGAGTGTAAGTTTTGTGGACAAGCTTTCGCGGCTCTCCCTCCCCATTACAGACACTTAGCAACCGAGAATAACAGGCGTGAGTTTTTCTAGAGTTTTTTTTCAAAATTGATCAAGTTATAATTTTGAAAGATAATGAATAATATTATTTGTGAGTTGATTAATATATATGACAGTGTATAAAGTCTGTTGGAGATATCATGAATATGTAAAACATACTTATTTGTCAATTAGTTCAATGATTATAATAATAAGAATGTTAAATTAAGAAAACGAAATTTTAAAAAAATGAGAAATAATGAGCGAATAGCAACAATGCAAACAAGGAATAGCGCGCTTGTAGAAAAATAAAAATAAAAAAAATTCTGTTCGAAATGCAGAAATTAGAGAGGCCATTATTCTGGACATCGATTATCCTGCAAAACAGCTATAGTCTAAAAGAGATTTGTCTTTTTACGTTTTGAAATAGTTTAATGAGGCTAGAGTGCATATGTAAGTCCCACATTTCAGCCCTAAAGGGGTGTGGGATGGGGGTGAAGAGAAGATCCATATTTACATCCACACCCTACATATATGTGACAATATTCATTTCGAGTAATGTTCATCGTTGCTTTTATTATGCATCAATCAATCATAGCATGATGTGATCAGTCTTCAAGCTTTACGCAAAATAATACACGCTCCCACTCTTGAATCTTTTGAGCATTTGCATCGATCTTTGATGGGTACATCTTGCAATGCATGTTCAATATGTTTACCACAACCTAAAAGAATAAAAGACGTGTTAAGTAATTTTCAGGTAGATTGAAATCGGTCTTCACATCACCTGCCCATGTTGGCTTGCCACATTTAGAACATACAGTTTTTCTGCACATTTTTTGAAAATCTAGAAGATATTCTAAATATAGAAGGTAACAAAACACGATTGCTCATGTTAACTGAATCTAAAAACAAAAAGTTCACTATTGATTTTCCAATAATGTCATTGATCGGTATTGCGAAGTTTTTTATCATTGCAATTTAAAGAAAAACAGTTATTCATCATCACAATCCAAACCGTGCATATGAATGATTAAAAATAGAAAGAAACGTAACTATCAATGCATCTTATCAGTTCGCTATTATATCAGAAAAGAAGCTCTCACAGGATTATTCTCTTATAACTCGCACAAAGCGATAAAACTATTGAATTATGCTAAACGATAATTGACTCATTATTTCTCTAGGACACGACTGCCTTACAAGGAGTATATCTAAACTTTTTCACCAAAACAATGCGTGCCATAGAAAAATACTGGTTTTTAGAGCGTAATATCCTGTATTCTTCGAAATAACAAGAATCATGTTTGGGATCAAAGATTTTAGAACAATCTCCAAAATAAGTTTATCGTCTCACGAGTCACAACTGCATTTTTAATGTTTTTCATTTTGAAAAGTCAGAATCAGTGAGTATATCATATGACAATGTACAACTGAGTAGTCCGAAAAAAAATATCATATACTGAGTCTTGAGCCATGGTCTTGAAAAAACGCTTAAGAAAGAAAGTCGTCATTTAAATTTCTCTGATCTTTCATTTGCGAAACTAAACGTCGGTTGATTTGTAATCTTTTTATTATCATAGAAGAATAAGGCGCAACTATGTTTTGAATAACCTATAGATGAAATACAGACAATCTTCTATATTGTGTCATTCGAAAAGTAACTTTTCCGATCAAGATGAAGATTAGGAAAAAAATATTCTAACTGATATAATTTTCTTTGTCTTACCTGTTGATAATTTAATGTATGTCGTTTCTGATTTTCATTCTTTGTTTTTTCAGTACTTGTTTTTCTTTTTCTCTGTCTTTATATAATTTAAATCTTCTTTTCTTTAGTGTGTTATTGTGAATAAAAAACAAGATTTCTATTCATATTTAGTTTCTTTTGCATATTCTATCAAAGATTGTAAAACGTTAATATTTGTAAGAGGATTAGAGACCACCTCTGCGATAAATAGTAAGTGAAAGTTTTATGATGAACTTTTCTGTTTCCGGTACAGATATCATCTTTTGAGTTTATTGCTCTTTTCAAATAAATCCTATTTGAGTAGAGATTTTTTAATCTCATTGCTTTACTCATTTAAAAAGAAAACTAAGAATATGTTCAGATAATACGCTTATGTACGTTTAATGCATTCATTCTTTTGAATTGCGTATACTCAACTGTTATGTTTCATGCTTATAATTTCATCTCTCTTTCCTATTACCCTATTCTAGTGTAAGTTTCATATTATTGTCTTTCATTGAATCTGCACTGATATGCCTTACTTGATCTAACTTCTCACTTATGCTCATCAACGCTCGATTGTTCATCATGGTTGATTTCGTAGAAGTGATCATCTGAAAGCATATATGGATTCATTTCATAAACTTAATTACCAGAACCTGATCAATTGCAATCTGAATACCAGCTTAATCGATGAAAATGTACTACATTGATTGAGCTGATCATTAATAAATATACAATTTGAAGTACTCATCATCAAAGTCGACAATCGAGTAAACATATTTGGCAATATAAATATAGTGAGCTATTTTCAAGTGTTGAATATTTAATTTCAAGATAAAGAACTTTTGCGTATAACAATCATAATAGATCGATGATTGGAACCAGTCTTGTTTTTATTTCTTGATAAAAACAAAGAAATATTTTATGTTTGTAGATTTTTATTTTTCAGAACTTTTTCTTCTTCGAATGTTCCCTTTTTTGCATCATTTTTACTAAACCTTAATATATATTCATGGGAGCAAATTATAACAAATTTAAATCATAAAGTTATGATATTGTTCAACAAAGAAAACAGAGTTCATTTTTTTTACTTAATCGAAAGCAATGGAAAAATTTATTATTTATGAAGCATATTTCAGTCTCTCATGTTATCGGGAACATTAACTTAACAATATTGACTTTCTATCCATTTTTACTCTGCAAAAAATGTTCATCAAGAGTCATTCGTAATGGTTTGCCAATTTTATTGTTTTTATGCGCATCGTTCTCTTTCATGATATAATCGTCTTAAGTACAAATGGATGAACACAACATTTATATAATGTATTTTTAGAATAGAAGGAATTAATTCTGTATTGCTATTTATGTAGATTGAGAAAGTTATAAGAAAAGTACCGAAAAACCTTGATTCTCTCTCTTGTGCAAAACATTGAACAAGCGAAATATGTAACATATGCTGTAAATTTGAGGAGCAAAAATGAAAATACGAATACAAAATGAATTAGGTACTAGGAGAGATATTTAATATTAATAGTAATGGTAGCTTGTCAGTATAACTGTCGCTCATATTAAGTGAGAGTAGCCACTTACATAACACTAACATACTCTATAATACTTATATACCAATTCAAATTTTGCATCACATATAAAGATATTTTTATCTTAATCATGGGCAGTTAAGTACAGATATAAAATGAATTCTATTAGCTTTCTACACAATATCGACGAATCGCATGTGCTTTCTAAAAACATACAGTTTAATGTATAAATAATTTTCAAGATCATATTCACTAGGATATCGATGTAGTTTCCATCTAGGACGAATGATTATCATTTCTCCATTCGCTTCTGATTTCTTTTCTACTCATGGAACTGTGACTTTCTTATAAACATTCACATAGTAGAACAATCAATTCTCAGAATTGCCTGCACACTTGTACATCAAGTTACCATCCTTTTTGTTTTGCGAAGTTTTAGACAATTTTTTGGTTTATATTTCAAATTGTGCCTATTCGAATAGATATTCTCTTGAATTCATAGATGATTGAATAGAAATAGTTAAGTATGGTATAAGCCTACTTTCAAAAATAAATGCAAGAATTAAGCTAATAATTTATTTCGATCAATCAACTGCTTTTTACATCCCATGACACACCGACTGACCCGATGAAAGTTTATTCAGAATTATTAAATTATAATCAAATTCTAAGACGTTAAAAACTTGTTGTGTTCAGTTCTGATGATTTAATCAATACTGAGATTCAAAACTGAGGGTGAACGTGAAATAAAGCCAAATACATGAGGAATCAAAACAGTATAATTATAATACAAATGAAGCAAATCACAATGATAGATTTTAATTTCTAAACTCATGTTTCTAGTCTAAACTGAAAGACGAAATAGCATACATATTCATGAATGCGTCAAAATTCTAGAAATTCTCTTTACCTACACATCCACCTTCTGCTTGTCTGAATTCAATCAATAAGGAAATCATACTACTCATGATGCTACAGACATCACACGAAAATAGGCGGGATGCAATGAAAAACAGAGACTTATTGCAGCTGCATATAATTTAAATTGCACTATCCAAAAAAAATCTTCATTTTATTTTCGGATTAACAATAAATAAAATGCATAGAAAAATACAAATAACTGATAGAAAATGAGATTCTCTGGTTAGTGTATTTATTTTAGTGAACAAGACAAGTTTATCAATATAATGTTGCGTCAGTACCTAACTACTGACGGAAGATCTTTGAATATCTGAAGTGTTTATGAAGGTGAGAACAAACATCAAGCAGAGTGTCTTCGATCCTTAACTTCATAAATCCTCACTGTTCAGTACACATATAGCTATACTAAACTACATATTGTAAAAACAAATCTACATAAAATCACTAGGAAATTTCAGCAACTCTATAAAAGAAGTATACAGTTGATAATCATAAACTTCTAGAGAAAATATTTTTTGTAAATTCAAATTCAATCATAAGTCAACGACACGTGAAGCAAGTATGAAAGAACAGCATTTATACTCTACAAAAATGAAGAAGAACTGCAAGTCAAAATGTAGAATGATAATAAAAAATCGAATGTAGATTTGTATAATGTATCAATTGAGAAAAAAAAATAAACTAAAAAAGTATTTTCTTATTTTTCAAAATATTCTCAATGTATTTCAGTTTTATCTATTATGTGCAAAAGAAAAGACTTTTTTGAAATCATGAGTATCTCGGTTATTTTTTTTCAGCTTGAGGTACTTATCAATAAAAGTACTGATGAAAGAGTCGATGAGTAATTTAATATTTCCTTCAATAATAAATCACTCTTCATGTTGACCTAAAACCGACACAAATCTTGCTTTCGCCTCTTGATATTTGTTTATTTAAAAGACAAAAACATCATAAAAATGTTGAGTCTAACATAGATTTCGTTTTCCGTACTAAATTCTATGTTATCGCTCGTCAGAAACTGTGAACCGATACAGGTCAGTGCGTTGAAATAGAAAAAAAAATCTGATGGCAAAGATCATATATTGAGAGATTCATTGGATCTTCAACCGCAACTACCCTTGGTCCGAATTTCATTCATCTTCCCACCAACACATCTTCATCGTCAATGAATATAACCCATTTATTCTTTGTTGAGTACACTGTTTTTTTTTCTCATACCGAAAATCAATATATACACTGACGATAGTTGAAAGATTTTAATCATTTTTTTTTTTCTCTTTCCTTTCCCTCCTCTCTCGGTCAATATTGGTAAGTAATGAGATAAAGCGTACTTCGTATTTTTCTACCACACTCTTTTTTTCAGCTTTATCAAGCAATCAAAACAAAATCATACGAACAGTAACCAAAAATATATCGTGTTAGTATGGTTGACCTTGCTATTTAATGCCTCGTGTGTGGTTTTACGATTCGAAATGAATGAAATGGTAGTGTACATGTACAGATATTGTACCAACCAATATACAATCCAAGAGAAGAATTGTTTGAACGATATGTTGAATTTCAACCAGCAAAAAAAAGTGAGATATACATTGAAGAATCACTTCTCGATCGACATTCTTTTACAACATTCGTTCAATGAATGACTCATTTGATCGATTTCAATTTTGATTCTCCTAAAATGTTTGTTAAGTGTCTGATGTCGAATCGTCCGAAATCGATTGACGTGAGAAATATCAATCGACCTTCTTGAATATCTTTATTCAGCCTCGATATTGCCATGTCTCTTTTGGTCATCTAATTGCTTGCGACTACACCAAAGAGTATATTCACTGTTATCACATATATTGACATCTACAACTTTATTAAAAATATATGCTATTATGAGGACTTCAGTATTATTATCCTGAACTCCTTATTTAGTTTATTTTACTTAATTATATGTTTCATGAAAAAGAAAGATGATTAAAAAACGGTGTTATTCTGATGCATTAGTCATAAAGAAGAAAGAAAGCCAGATAAGATGCCAATGCAATAATAACAATTCACGTCAGAAGGAATTCCGACATATAATTAAAGTTGAAAGAAGAGCATGACTCTACTCGAAAGGTAGAGTCAATGCTGGAAGCTTGATAAGTACACTCTAATAACCACTGATGTTGCCAGGAAGTGTTGGACCGGAACGTGAAGGATGACCACCTGGTTGAATATGAGTTGGGTAAGTGATTACAGGACCAGGGGAGTAAGTAGTAGTTTGTGAATTAACAAAATTTGGATCGGTTGAAGAACCAATAACTCCCGAGCCCGCGCCAACTGAAACATAGCAAACAATACATTATTGATAATCTATGATCAAAAAAATGCTCACGTGGATTGGGACCTCTAGTAGCACCATAATATCCAGCAAGACCTTCCATTTTGTATGTCTTTTCTGTTTAGTCAATGATTTGCTAAAAGTAAAAAAAAGTAACGATGAATGCAGCTCGTATGTGACATTTTATACTAATCACATGAGTTATACTCTATCATGCATGAAGGCATATTGCATTAAGACGAGAAGAAAATGATAAAGAAAGTAAATGATTATTTATTTGCTTCGTTACATGAGCGAATGAAAACTGCGTAGAATAAAGTTTTGTTGATATATGAATATGCCAGATGTTTGAAATAGATATTTCAGTTTACGTTGTAGATTAAGTCAATTTAACCAGCGTATATAATCGTATTTCNAAAAAAATGTTTCTTTTTTTCTTTGTAACAATATGTCTGCCAGAGATGTCCATCGCGGCTCGGAATCTGCCGCTGCCGCGCCGCGATGAATTTCCAAAAAGTATGCTGCTGCCGCGATGGTACTCGAAAAAAAGTTTCGAATTCATTGAGTCTTAGAGTGTTACGTCTGTGAACACTCAATTTTTGTACAAATTCATTCAGCTTTTGTAATGTCTTCCAGAAATAAGGTGCCGCCGCGATGGACATCTCTGATGTCTGCTAGTTAAATAATGAAATATATTTAGTTTAATCAATCAATCAGAACTGAGAACTTGTTAATTATTCTATCCACCATGTGGGTATTCTATAATGACGATCAACTTCTGTATGAATAATGTTAATCATACCAACATTTTGATGGTTAATATTCCATGTCTGGAGTATTCAATCTGAGTATGGAATTCTAATAAAGATTTTTTTATGAAATAAAGTATCGCTTTTGTATTTTTATGAGTAATTCAATATTGAGAATTTCTATCTATTGATATGTATAATAAATCATTGTTATTGTTGTGAAACGAAAAACCTCACTGAAAGAAGATTAACTTAAAATTTTCATCAGTGAACCGAATATTATTTAAATTTGTGTGTTAACTTTAATAGTTTGAGAAAGTGTTTTCATTGATATAATAAGCAATAAATCTCTAATAGACATGACAGTTGACTGACCCGTTTCATATTAAACTGTCCGATTCGTAACCCTGCTAATTAGAATAGATTATGGATTGATTACGGGACCAAGTTTTTTCCATGGATTACTTATCGAAATAATTTCTTTGAAAATTATATTTCTAAGGTTTTGTGTCGGATAATATCCTAAAGAGTTTATGTTTTTCATAGAACTTTGAATTCTTTCAGAACCGAATCCGATCTGTTTCAAGTGCAAACCTTACTTTAATTTCAAATTCAGTTTGTATTTAGTGTCGAGTGCTTCATCAAAAAATCAAGTATATATTTATGATAGATAATGTAAGGGAAGTTCGTATCAGTTGAATAATCATATAGTCACAATTTTACAAAAAAGATTACTAACGTTATCAGATAGAGAAAACTAGATGATGTGAATTTTTTTCATTGTATGTTGCTATTCATTATACTGTTAGATTTCTACTTTTAGTTAAATTTGCATATATGATGTTCCCTGGGTGCATATTACGAAACAATGAACTCGTAAGTGTTCTATAATAGATTCTAAAACTTTCGAACAGAACTTTAAAAAAACTATTTGTTCTATCCATTAGCCAGTCACATCAGATAGAATTCATGGTCCATCGATTCAGAAAAAGAAAACAGCTTTTATCAACATCTCGAATACTTAGAAGATCTATGGATTAGTTCCAAACGAAAAAAAAATGGTTAGATCTCTAATCAGTCAGTAGATACGAGCATTGTATTCATAAGATGCAATCATTATTCGATTGAAGCTATGTTCTGGAATTATTAATTTAAATATTTATCTGTATAGTTATTTTCATACCGTAATATTTCATGATTTTCTATATCTTCAAAAGAATATGATATTGTTGAAGTATTAGCACGATTAAGACGAATAAATTCCTTGAATTTAGCAGAAAAAAAAAGAAATATAATTTTTGAAAATAAGATCAATATATTTTACCTGAAGTGTAGATATTTCAGTTTTATAAAAATCGACATCATTTCGATATTTTTCTAATTCATTTTTAACATTATTAAGTTCGTTGTTTAATGCTTGAATACAATTATGATCCTTTGTTGTTTTTTTAATATTTAAATTAAACTTAAAACTCAATTTAATTTTTTAAATAAAATCTTACTTTATGATTATCCTTTGAAACTATCAGTCCACAACCATTTTCGCATTGAATTAATATGTTTTTATTATACTCACAATCAGTTAGATGATTTGCAAGAACATCTAATTTGACTATTGTTATACAACCTTCATTTTCACACTTGATTTCTAAACTAAAAATATTATCATATGAATAGATTCGGTTTTTTAAAATAAATTTATTAAAAATCTGTAACTCGTACTTGTTGTTCTACTTAAAATCATACTTACAAGGGTAATTCCTCAACTGTTTAAGTGCTTTTGAGTCAAGACTATGTACATCGTGTAAATCCTAATGAACTACGAATACTTCCATAATCCCTATTAGAAACAGCAAGAAAAAGGTTTTTTTTCAATTTTGAGTTGAAACTTTCCATAGCGATGGATCTTAACGAGAATGATTTTTGTGGAAGTTTTACCTTTTCATTCATTCCTATCCAAAGATGCAGCTATTATAAAAACCATCATTCATACAAACTGATAGATTCGATTCAATGCAAAATTTTAAGTTGAAATTCGAAAATCAGTTTTTCTGCTGGTCCTGACGAGGGTTGGAGCATTGACTTAAAAACAACAGTGTCTCCGCAACAATAAGCTAAGAGCTGAAATTCATTAAGGGCTATATGATGCACATTGATAAATCGATAATGAAATGTGTAGCTTTCAAAAGTAGAAAAAGGAAACAATGTATAACTAATCAAAATCGAGTAAGATTTTGTAACTCATCATAGTCAAAAAAGATTTTATTTTTGAGAGAATAGATTGAATTAATAATTTCTAGAATTATTTTTTCTATTTTATTTATATTCAACTTTTCAAATATCAAATAGTATTTTATTCCTATTTGAATGTTGTTTATCATTTATTGATTATTTCTAGAAAAAGTAAAAGTGATTCTAGAGTATATTTTCGATTGCTTAAAGTACGATGATTCTGAATAATAAGAACGATTGCGATTTAAAATTTAAATCAGGTACAAAAATTTTTCAGATTTATTTTAGAAAAGTACATTGACTTTGTAGATTATTTTATTGTATGAGAAAAAAACTCCAGCTGTCGAACTACATTTAGCCCCCTATGAGAAAAAGCAAGGTGTAAAAGAAAAAAGATAAGAATCTATATCCTCCATATACTTTAACATAAAAATGATCAATAAATAAAAAAATATGCCGAAACTTTTAGGACATTTTGAGAAAAAAAATTGAAACTTAAAAGATATTTAATCTTACTAATTGCGAAATATCAACTTTTTCGTTATAAAAATCTCTTCATAACTAACAACGCAGATGTTTAGATTGTTAATTAATAAGACTAAACATATTTGGGTCAAATTAAACGTTTCACTAATAAATTTAAAATATAGAATGCCACATCGAGATATTCAAATTTTAAGGTATTAACTCAGAATACATTTTTTCTCATATTTAACAATGATAGTATGATTTACAAATACTTGTAAATATCTTAAAATTCGAATGTCTTGGTCTGTCAATCTATATATTAAATTTATTGATGAAAGCTTTAAAATAATTCGAATTTCTTTAGTCGTATTACATAATACCAACATCTCCGATGATAACATACAAAACCAACTAATCGAAAATACTTTTTCAATAATAATACGTTTTGTTTAATTGAGAATTTCACATATGTATGAATGATGATAATTAAAACAAGAAGAAATCCTACTCGTATTGTGATATTTGTTTTTATTCTATTGAATAAAATTTACCGATTAAGTAAATTTTTAAGAATTCGTGGTACGAGCTTTAATTGATTGATTTCTATTGGTGTTCGATCGATGGGACATGTTTGAGTTTGTGAAAGCCATTCTTCAATGCAAGTCTTTTAAATAAAAACTAAAATATAATGAACAATAATAAAAACGAAGATTATTTTTACTCGACAAAAAGTATGTTCACATGATGGTATTTGAAGAGGATCTTGTAGAACGCCGCGACAAATAGAACCTGAATAGAAAAATATTTAATTGATTAATTATCATTTTGATATATTTACAAATTAATTCTTCATCGATAACATTGGGAAATCTTTGAATATCAAAGCCCATAGCGCGATTTACAAAATCGATTTTTCGATTTCTCAGCACATTGTAGCAACTAAAATATATTAAAAGTGAATATTCTCACCGACAATCATTTATGTGATTTTTTTTTCTTGTTTGCCTAATGAATGTCCTAATCGATCATCTTATCGTATGGTTGATAACAATGACCAGTTAAATAAAATATTAACAAAATGAAATATATCGACATCTATATTTTATTTTATTAAACAATTGAAATATTAAATAAAACGAAAAAAAAAATCATGAAATATATACATGCAGAACATATAACATTTTCCATATCGAATGTTGATTCTCTTAGAAACCAATCGAGTTTTATGAAAGAAAATTTATCCAATATTTCTATGACAAGTTATTGAAGAATCGACAATAAAATTTCGATGATATACCATTGATTATTAAATCATGTTTTTTTATTCGTCTTAAGTCATTTTTATAATAAATATTCTACGACTTTAAACTGCATTCTGAATCCAAATTTTTAGAAAAGCTTCATTGTCTCAAAAAGACATATGATGTAACATATGATCGTTATATTTGACTCTTATACATTGGCGAAGTCAAGATTTTAGACTAGGAAGTACTCAAAGATTCATGCAGGAGGGGAGGGTTGAGCTCTCCTCTGCCGTCCTCGTTGCTCCGCCACTGCTCTCATAGATAATAAAGCAATCTTTAAAACTTTTATATAAAAAAAAAAAATGTTCCATCTGAAATCTGCAAATTATTATTTAATCATACAAAACAAAAACTAAATAGCGTTTAATTTCGTCTTAAAACGTGAGTTAACAATTGTCTTTCTTCTTAAATGCACCGTCCATCTTTCCTAAACATACATAGAAGAATAGAACAAAAAAAAAAAACAATATAATTTGTTGTCTGATGTATAGATGTGAAAAAAAAATATTGAACGTGCCATTTATTGATTTACTATTCCTAGTTGATATAAATTCGACACCTGTTCGAAATCGACTATCGATTTACTAAACGTGCTGAATGATTGTCTCATTTGAAACAAAAAAAAAAGAAAATAAGAACGATTTCCTCTGTATTTCATCTGTACAGGAATAACACTCAAAGAAAAAAAAAAATTTTCTCTTCTAACAGAATTGAATAATCCATTATCAATACTAAAGATGTATACCGTTTGTTGATAAACATGTCATCGATTATTGACATTGTAATTTAAGATGCCTNACCACAGTTCTCTATCTTGTTTTTATCAAAAGTTATTTGAAAAATACTCATTCGTATTTTTTAAAATGAGTATTATTATAACCAGCACATAAGATCACAACACAGATCTTATCGAAATTTTATTATTATTATATTAGTTGAAGTATGATCAAATAGCATAGAAAAATAGAGCATTCTTTCCTCTATCGGACTATGCAGAGAGAAAGTTTCTTTAACCTTATTATAAGGCATTGAAGCGCTACTGCCACTACTTTTGGATTGCCCTAAGTATAATTGCTGAAAATGAATCTCATTGAGGTATATGACCATTTACTTTAGTATGTGTTCCACTTCGAAAAAAGTCATAAATTAATTGAGTTTCGTTTCAGCTACCTAAATTTGGATCAATACCTTGTTCATTACCTATATGTATTAATGGTAGAGAATTATCATCTGATGAATACCACTTGTTATCTACATATATATAGTTGTAAGAGAAGAACGAAGCCATACATCAAATTGATAGATAGTTCTTATTCATAAAATTCTAAAAATACTTATGATTGTTACTGTCAAAAAGAATCTGCATCCATGTATCAAGCAAAAGAGAAGTATTTACAGGTTGATAAATCATAACTTTTTGTAAAGCTCCCGACCAATTGCAAAAAATAACTTCTCTTTCGATCTGAAGACCAAACATCGATTTCACTCAGTCATTCATGCTTATTGGAAAAATCTTATTTTTAATTCATCTGTATGCTGGCAAGTTTCAATTAACTAATATACATTCTTTTTCGTTCTTCATGCGCCAAACATATTTATTTTTTATGTTTTCATTAAACGCGATCATCTGAGATAATGGGCTCCTGTGTAGTATAAATCAACAAGCACAGTACTATGCTTGTCATCATATCTGATTTATTTAATATTATATTTTTTGTGTCGAAACTTTATTCATTATCTTGTTTTTTCAGATTTTTTCTGTGCCTTAATATAGTTAAAAGTTTTGGGCGTGTGGATGTTGGTATGAGTGAACAAAAGACTCTCACCAAACCAACGCGCATCCTCACGCACATTCACATACATCTACATACCACACTCTACTCGCTCGCACATCTATTTTGTTTCGATAATGTAGCTTGAAATCGAAGCGAGTTGATAAAACATATTAGGTGTATTTTGATGAATGTTCACTGAATAGAAATTTTGGAATTCATCTTTCTTCATGGAAATAGTTATTAAATATCAGTAAAACAGGTTTGATATGCAAAAAAAACGCTTCTACGATCAACATTTTGAAAGAAAACATGCAAAAACTAGAAAAAAAACTCTAGTTCGGCAAGAAATTCTGGATTGGACCGGACCAGCAGTTTACTATTCATTCCCACCCACACTGACATCCACACCCATGCCTACACAAGCATCCCACATCCACGCCTACATCAAACTTACACACTCGTATGCATCTACACTCATCTACGTCCACTTACAGGTATACCCAACTGATGCCCTCAAATACCTCTCAGTCACCATTTATACCACATCCAAACTGACTGTGGCACCAATACTCATACCCATTCATCCAGCCTTTTGGTTTAGTTGAGTTGTAATTTCTATTCGGAGATATTGAAAACTGATAGGTCACTTGGTCCGATATGGTTTAAGCTCCATTGTCAGTGAGCTTGATCAAAGGCATCATGAGAAGTGACGAAATCCAATGGATTAAATAATCTCTTCACAACTCTAGTTTTTTTCTAATACTAATCTCTTCGAAACGAGCACTCAATGTAAAGCGTTATAAATCGAGCTGCTTTTGATAATATTTACTATATTCGATTATTTCTGCACCATTTTTCTATGTAAATTATATTTATTCGCGGAAAGGAAAGTAAATGGTAATGAAACGTAATTCAAAATACGAAAGAGAACGTATGCCTATTCTCTCAGTATTTTTGGGAGGTCGTTCTTGCATACCTTTTATTTCTTTTTCGAAGAAGCACTAGTGACGGTAATCGTTTATTTCTCTTCCTACGTTAGTAATACGAAATTTGCATTACGATAAGAACACTCAAAGATTAAAATGCATCTGTCCTCTATGTAAAAAAAACATTGTAAAAAAAAAACAAGCGGAGAATTATAAACCGTCATCATTCGCTTATTACCACTACATAAATATTGGTAAGGATTTGTAACCCATTGCAAATTCATATAACCTTTTAACTGTTTTCGGAGTTCATAAACCTTTTTTTTTGGGTATATGGATCGAATAAATCCTTAGTTGATAGATTTATGATGGCATATTTTAAACACAACCGTAAATTAAGAAACTCTCCGCCTGAGCGTTTATTCCGTCCATATGCCTGATGAAAAAGATTTATGAACACAAAAAACAGTACAACCATACATGAATTTGTAATGGGTGATAAATCCTTGCCAATGCTCATAAACAGAAAGGTTTTTTGAAATGCTAGTTTATACTCATAAACTTAAAAAGTGTTTATGTAATAGTAATAAACGAAACTGAGAGTTTATATTTCTACATGTTTCTGTTACAGTGAGATCACAATGCAATTTAAACAGCACATGTACATTCGTTCTACGTATTGAATCTGTCTCACATCGTAAACAACTCGGCAAAAAAACTCACAATCTTCGCCAAAACGATCGAATCTAATATCCACGGTCAGTTGAATCTAAGGGCATAATAATGATTATGATAACTAACACTACCGGTTATCTGTGCATTGATTTAGGGACGATTTGCACCGATGATTTCCATTAATCAATCGTTTCTCAACATTTTAGAGCTTAGTTTTCTTGCCTAATAAAGGGCTGTTTCGGAAAAAAAGAAATAGTTTTCTGAAATTTCGTTAATATTGTGAGACATCGGAAAA